TGACTACTGACTGTCACACTGACTGACTACTGACTGTCACTGACTAACTACTGACTGTCACTGACTGACTGACCACTGACTGTCACTGACTAACTACTGACTGTCACTGACTGACTACTGACTGTCACTGACTGACTACTGACTGTCACTGACTGACTACTGATTGTCACACTGACTGACTAATGACTGTCACTGACTGACTACTGACTGTCACTGACTAACTACTGACTGTCACTGACTGACTACTGACTGTCACTGACTGACTACTGACTGTCACACTGACTGACTACTGACTGTCAAACTGACTGACTACTGACTGTCACTGACTACTACTGACTGTCACTGACTGACTGACCACTGACTGTCACTGACTAACTACTGACTGTCACTGACTGACTACTGACTGTCACTGACTGACTACTGACTGTCACTGACTGACTACTGACTGTCACTGACTGACTACTGACTGTCACTGACTAACTACTGACTGTCACTGACTGACTGACCACTGACTGTCACTGACTAACTACTGACTGTCACTGACTGACTACTGACTGTCACTGACTGACTACTGACTGTCACTGACTGACTACTGACTGTCACACTGACTGACTACTGACTGTCACTGACTAACTACTGACTGTCACTGACTACTGACTGTCACTGACTAACTACTGACTGTCACTGACTGACTACTGACTGTCACTGACTAACTACTGACTGTCACACTGACTAACTACTGACTGTCACTGACTAACTACTGACTGTCACTGACTGACTACTGACTGTCACACTGACTAACTACTGACTGTCACTGACTGACTAACTACTGACTGTCACTGACTAACTACTGACTGTCACTGACTAACTACTGACTGTCACTGACTAACTACTGACTGTCACTGACTAACTACTGACTGTCACTGACTAACTACTGACTGTCACTGACTAACTACTGACTGTCACTGACTGACTACTGACTGTCACTGACTAACCACTGACTTTCACTAACTAACTACTGACTGTCACTGACTGACTACTGACTGTCACACTGACTAACTACTGACTGTCACTGACTAACTACTGACTGTCACTGACCAACTACTGACTGTCACTGACCAACTGCTGACTGTCACTGACTAACTACTGACTGTCACTGACTAACTACTGCCTGTCACTGACTAACTACTGACTGTCACACTGACTACTGACTGTCACTAACTACTGACTTTCACTAACTAACTACTGACTGTCACTGACTGACTACTGACTGTCACACTGACTAACTACTGACTGTCACTAACTAACTACTGACTGTCACTGACTAACTACTGACTGTCACTAACTAACTACTGACTGTCACTGACTAACTACTGACTGTCACACTGACTAACTACTGACTGTCACTAACTAACTACTGACTGTCACACTGACTAACTACTGACTGTCACTGACTAACTACTGACTGTCACTGACTAACTACTGATTGTCACACTGACTAACTACTGACTGGGACTCACTGACTAACTACTGACTGTCACTGACTGACTACTGACTGGGACTCACTGACTAACTACTGACTGGGACTCACTGACTAACTACTGACTGGGACTCACTGACTAACTACTGACTAACTACTGAGTGTCACACTGACTGACTACTGACTGACTACTGACTAACTACTGAGTGTCACACTGACTGACTACTGACTGACTACTGACTAACTACTGAGTGTCACACTGACTGACTTCTGACTGTCACAATGACTGACTACTGACTGTCACTGACTGACTGACCACTGACTGTCACTGACTAACTACTGACTGTCACTGACTAACTACTGACTGTCACTGACTGACTGACCACTGACTGTCACTGACTAACTACTGACTGTCACTAACTAACTACTGACTGTCACTGACTAACTACTGACTGTCACTAACTAACTACTGACTGTCACTGACTAACTACTGACTGTCACTGACTGATTACTGACTGTCACACTGACTAACTACTGACTGTCACTAACTAACTACTGACTGTCACTGACTAACTACTGGCTGTCACTGATTAACTACTGACTGTCACTGACTAACTACTGACTGTCACGACCAACTACTGACTGTCACTGACTAACTACTGACTGTTACTGACCAACTATTGACTGTCACTGACTAACTACTGACTGTCACTGACTAACTATTGACTGTCACACTGACTACTGACTGTCACTAACTAACTACTGACTATCACTGACTAACTACTGACTGTCACTAACTACTGACGGTCACACTGACTAACTACTGACTGTCACACTGACTAACTACTGACTGTCACTAACTAACTACTGACTGTCACTGACTAACTACTGACTGTCACACTGACTAACTACTGACTCGGACTCACTGACTAACTACTGACTGTCACTGACTGACTACTGACTGTCACTGACTAACTACTGACTGGGACTCACTGACTAACTACTGACTGGGACTCACTGACTAACTACTGACTAACTACTGAGTGTCACACTGACTGACTACTGACTGACTACTGACTAACTACTGAGTGTCACACTGACTGACTACTGACTAACTACTGAGTGTCACACTGACTGACTACTGACTGACTACTGACTGGGCTTCACTGACTGACTACTGACTGTCACTGACTAACTACTGACTGTCACTGACTGACTACTGACTGTCACTGACTGACTACTGACTGTCACACTGACTGACTACTGACTGTCACTGACTAACTACTGACTGTCACTGACTGACTGACCACTGACTGTCACTGACTAACTACTGACTGACTACTGACTGTCACTGACTGACTACTGACTGTCACACTGACTGACTACTGACTGTCACTGACTAACTACTGACTGTCACTGACTGACTGACCACTGACTGTCACTGACTAACTACTGACTGTGACTGACTGACTACTGACTGTGACTGACTGACTACTGACTGTGACTGACTAACTACTGACTGTCACTGACTAACTACTGACTGTCACTGACTGACTACTGACTGTCACTGACTGACTACTGACTGTGACTGACTGACTACTGACTGTCACTGACTGACTACTGACTGTCACTGACTGACTACTGACTGTCACTGACTGACTACTGACTGTCACTGACTGACTACTGACTGTCACTGACTGACTACTGACTGTCACTGACTGACTACTGACTGTCACACTGACTGACTACTGACTGTCACTGACTAACTACTGACTGTCACTGACTGACTACTGACTGTCACTGACTGACTACTGACTGTCACTGACTGACTACTGACTGTCACACTGACTGACTACTGACTGTCACTGACTGACTACTGACTGTCACTGACTGACTACTGACTGTCACTGACTGACTACTGACTGTCACTGACTGACTACTGACTGTCACTGACTGACTACTGACTGTCACTGACTGACTACTGACTGTCACTGACTGACTACTGACTGTCACTGACTGACTACTGACTGTCACTGACTGACTACTGACTGTCACTGACTGACTACTGACTGTCACTGACTGACTACTGACTCCCAGTTGGTTTGTTTTGCACAATGTTTGACAGACACGAACCATTCCCCCTCTCCACCAACATCTCCATTTACAGCATCAAAATACAGTGCAACCGCCACTGTCCTTCAGATGAGATGCGAAGCCGAGATATTTTGCAGATGTTTGAGGTGGACTTCACACATCCCACAGACCATTGGGAAACAGAAGGGAGTTTTCTCTCCCCTCATGTCTTGGCCAATACTCCTCCAAATACGCTTGGTTAGTCACTTCATGGCTGTTTGTGTGCGAATGGCTGCCTCGTTTCGCCCACAACATACTTAACAGTATATTCTGTGAAGCATTTTGAGACATCGCGATGATGTGACAATAAGGATCTAAATCAAGTAGTAGTAATCTTTGCATCTTCACAGGATGCAAATACCTCATTCATTCACAGCTGTGAGGGTGAGAAAATATGAAGCTGATTTTTGAAGGCTGGCAATGATTCTGAAAGTAGACTATTGTGTGCCATTAATTTAGAAACAAAAATTGGTAAACAGAACAAAAATTCCTAGAGAAGCTAGGATTATTCTCCTTGGAGCAAAGAAGGTTAAG